ACTTAAAGCCTGTTTATTTAAGATTAAAAAATAAATAATTTTTAGGTAGTTTAGAGATTTTATAAAAAGATATTTATGGGCCCATTTGTTTTGACTTATTTCATGAAAAAATCACTTATTGTTTTTCTTAAAAAAATCTATTTTGTGAGTTTTTATAATGATTGTTTAAACTTTTGAAAATAATCAAAATTCAAAAAAATAGATTTCTGATAGATATCATAAAATTTTAAAATAATATAATAATAAATTATTTTTATAAAACAAAAATCAAGAAAAAATATCATAAAATTTAAGAATAACCAACTAATAATCACTTTTTTTATAATTATAACCAAACATAAAATAATATTTACTTTTTATAAAATCTCTACAAAATAAATATCTTTTTATAAAATCTTCAAACTACTTAAAATTCACTTTTTGTCTTTTTTTTTCAAATTATAGAATTGCTTTATGGAAGACCCAAATTACTCCTCTTTCAGCCACAAACATTGACACCCTTTCATGTGTTAGATTACCTAAGAAATTATGTGCAACAACTGATGACCAGGGAAGACATCCTATTTTTCTCCTCTCAGAGATGGTGGCTTAGGGCTAACAAAATACAATGAAAATAAATGTGTCTCTTTTAGCTAAACAAGTTTGAAGGATCATGAATGCAGAAGAACATATACTTTTGGGGAATACTTTAAAACCAAATTAAGCATATTAACCGTTCTAGCTCCTGCGATCTTTAATTGCCCTCCAATGCCTCATGGTTTTGGAAAGGAATTTACAAATCTGGGAACCTAATAAGAGCTCACCTATCTTGGAAAGTTAAAAATCGTGAGTCCATATCCATCTTTGACAAAGTGTGTGTTTAGATTAAAAAATTTATAATTGAGGTTAGAATTTAACTAAAATTAACAAACTGTGAGATTAGGAGGAAAGTCTATAACTGTAATGTAATTTATGTTTAGATTTTTTTTTACAAAAATCAATTGGACAAAATAAAATTTATTTGAATAATTTAATTCAAAAGTCAGTTGAAATTTATAATGATAAAAACATACATAAATTTTCTTGTGTTTTTACTATACAAATTTATTTAATTAGTTATAGAGATAATTTAGTCTAAATTTTTAAATTCCTTATATAATGATTATACTTAGCCAGTCAACTTTTTTTAAATTGGGTGAATGATTATTTTATCTTATATTTAGAAACGGCAGGAATACTTCCACTATTAATTCTTTCTTCTTCTTTTTTTGCCGTCATCCTACTATAAATTCATGAGGTTTGTTCACAATTAATTAAATTAGTAATCTCATTCTTTTCCTGATAAACTATTCACTGGCCAAATATTAAATTATTAAATGAATTTCTCAGGATAATATGAAAGTAGAGTAAAAAATCTAGTAACTTGTTCTAGAGCTCCTTTGATCAAATGAATGAAGTGAGAAGTGGGTGAAGAGGGTAAAGTTGGGCACTCCGAAAGATAACGAAGAGAGAAAAAACTGGTAAAACTCAATAAATGCTTCCAACGTCCACCCCATTCCTGAATGCTAGTTGAAAAGCTCTACCCAATAGCTTTGTTCAAAATGCCCAATCTCTTCCAATGCCCATTCACTTTTCTTTTTTAATGTCTCAACTTAGGTTTGGATCATCCCAACTTTAGTTGGCATGTTATCCAAACATACTCAAAAATTGGAAGGCTTCTTCCAACATGAATTTGGTGCGGGATCTAAACATATCTAAGGTAGCAGATCTGGTCAATGAAAATCCAATCCTTGAACTGTTGTCACATGTAATGCTCCTCTTGACCTCTTGTGAAGGGGGTCTATGATGATGTCCTTGCTAGAGTTGTTCTCAACAGGGGGAAAGGTACCTATTTCCTATACTAATCCTGTTGGTAAGTTAATATGGGGAGAATGTACCTATACTGTAAAGAAGGGATTTAACATTATCAATAATGATACCACAGTTAGTATTCCTGCTATAACTCTAGTTTTTGGACTCCACTTTGGAGTCTTCAACTTCCTTAGAAAACACTTTTTATTCATATGGAAGCTGGTGCATAAAGCTCCACCTACTAGGGATGTTTTGAGGTCACATTGTCTCAATAACTCTATTTCATATGTTTTAGGACGTGACTGTGCAGAGACTATGCAAGACCCTTTTTGTGACAGTCCTCTTATAAAAGCCACTTGGTTTGACTCCCTTCCTATCGAATCCACAATCAACGGAAATCAAGACTTTCTTGATTGGCTTCAGCTAACCTCTAGGAATCTCTATCTTGATAATCAACTTCACATACTAGAAAATATATGTACTTTGTGTCATCTCATTTGGCAAAAAAAGGAATGAGGCCAGCTTGCATGTAGACCGCAAGTTTTCTCCCACGCAAATTATGTTGAAATTCCATAAAGCAATTTCAAATTTCTTAAGGAAGTCTGTAAATGGACATCCTTTGGTAATGCTTCTCGATACATTATAAGACTTCTGATTCAAAAAATGTTGAGCAATATTCGAAATCTAATTACTCATATCTGAGATTTTGAAAACAGGAAGTTAGAAACAATTAAGAAACAGGAATATTTTATGTGATGTCAATATCAATCTCGATCATGAGGATCTTCACTTTTCCTGTTTTGGAAGATCTCCAACTTCGCTGTGGGAATCATTTGTGGTTGCTTGTATCCGAGGTGTATTGTGCTAGATCAAGAATTTCACGGTGGAACATCTGGGGGATTGTTCTGACTTAGGATCTCTCATCCTCACTTACAATGGAAGACGAGAGCTACGGAATTCTCCATGTAATTTAGTTACCGAAAGTATTTTCTCTCTCTTGAAGTTGAACGCAGTGAACGTTTCTGTTGAACTATCTAATTTCCCTTTTTTTTTTGTTAAAAGTTACTCCCTCAATTCAAAAATATAAAACATTTTTTAAGGAATTGTATGTTCAAAAATGTCAGACATTTTTAATTTTTTAAAGTGTAATCATTGTCTTTTTTTTAAGTGCCCCTATTAATAATAACTTATATTTATTGTAGGATGTTTAAAAGAGGTAAATATAAAAAGATAAAGTTACTTGAAAAGTAAGTAACTACTTTATTAGGATGAAATTCGGTTAAAAATAATTTATATTTTTTAACGGAAAGAGTAAAATTTAGCTTGATGTTTTTTCTTTTTCTTGTAAATCTCCTTTTATTATCAAAAAAATGAGATTTTTTTTAAAAAAAAGAGCACAAGTATTGGAGACTAACAAATTCACCCCAATGAAGTTTAAAATTAAATAAAATAAAATTTATATTTTTAATATGTATATGCAAAATAAAATTTCAAATATAATAAAATATTTTGTTTTATATTAATTGAAATAAATTACATATTTTATATAGACTAAACTAAATTATTTTTAAATTTTTAAATTTATATTTTATTTTTACATTTTAAATATTAAAACATTCATGTGCATCACGTGGAATAAATTTAGTTATATTATATTCTCTCCATTAAAAAATGTAAGGCATTTTTAATTGAAACTCATCCCAATAAAATAGTTACCTACTTTCCAACTAACCATATCTTTTTATATTTACTCCTATTAAATATCCTACAATAAATATAAAGTCATCATTAATAGAGGCATTTTTTTTTTAAAAAAAGGCAATGATTACACCTCAAAAGATTAAAAATGTCTTACATTTAAAACATCTAATTCCTTACAAATGTTTTACATTTTTTAACAGAGAAAGTATTTATGATAATAAATTTTTGAGAAAATTGGCACAGTGGTCCTAAAACATATATACCCCAAGAATTATGGATAGAATTTATAAAAATTTGGAGCATGGCCCTTCACAAATTTAATTAGAATGTGATATTCTTTCTTTACCCAACAAAAACTCCCCTCAACAAATATAAAATTTTTGGTGCTATATATCCAAAATAGAGAAAAAAAATATCCCACATAACTAGTCCACGATTTAGAATTCCTTATTATATGCACCTAACAATTTAAAATAAAATGTAAGATTTTTTTTAGATAACAATAACAACTTAGAGGTAGAATTCCACATTGCCAAAAATCATTTTTTATTATCTGGTTGAAGTTGGCTTGGCTTTTCATTTCTAGAAGCAGAAGACTAGGCTAGGATCTATATTGAATTTTTACTATCTTCATATCTCTCAATAACATCAATTTTTTTATGGATTGTATTTGATTCGTTTTGGATAAATAATTATGTATTTTTTGTGTTACTGATTCGAGATACAAAATCATTGATATATGACTGTCTGTATATCAACGATAAACAAGTGGGTGAGTTTATTGATATAACTAATATATAGTATATCACTGATATACTATTGCAGATTAATATAAACAGACAATCAAATATAAATTTGTTTATCATTAACATGCAGATAGCCGTATATCAATGATGTAGTATCGCAAATCAATAATACAAAAAACACATAATTATTTTCTCAAAACATATCAAACACAGTCCACAAAATATTTTAGACTCTTAACTTATCACAAAAAATTAAATACCTAGGCTAATAAAATAAAAAAAAATCATGAATTTGTAGCTTCGTTTTCCTGCCGGCGTGCTCCTTTCCCTCGAGTATTGTCAATGCCTTTTGCCTCGTGTTTGTCTTTTGTATCCGTAATTGTAGCTCGCTCACACTACTCTACTTTCTTCTGTCTTTGAACTATTTCTTTTGTCACAACTATAGCTTGTGTTTTTCTATCTTGTTCGCTTGATTTCTCACATTTTGAGCCTTTTTTACATTACAAAAAGTAAAGTATTATAATTTTAAAATAGCAATTTTGTAAATTAAATATTAACTAAATATTAAAAATAAATAAATATCAACTAAATTTAAGAAAAAAAACTACCTCTTTTATTTGAATAGACTATTTTTTTATTTAATTTTATAATATGAATTATGTGTGTAAAAGTCCCATTATTTCATAACTTCTATGATAGAGCACGCTTGACAAATGACAAGGCTTTATTTTTTGGCGCTTGGTGGTTAACTGCTTCGCGCTCTAGCTCTTGCTTCATTCCCATTTTCCAGTGCAGAGATTTCCCAAAATTGGAATCCAGCAAGAAAGATCCAATCTTCATAACAAGTTTGTGGAGAAAGTTACAAGCTTTCCTCACTTGACTAAAGGAAAATGCGAGCTTCTTTGTGTAAAATTCTCGCCTCTTCTTTTGTTGTTCGTTTCATCTAGGTCTGTGTCATACTCCTTGTGCTCCTTCGACCTTTTTCCTTTTTGTCCTGGTACTTTTCTCTTTTCCATTTGATTCCCTTTTCCCTTCCCCGATTATGCTCGAATTTGTTTTGCTATTTGCTTCTGAGCCTGAGAAACAGTGTCTCTTGAGGCCTTTGGGTCCTTTCTCTCTCTGTCTCTATCTATGCCTTTGGAATGTCTCTGGGAAGGTTTGAAATTATTGGCGGAAAACACACACACACACCACACACACACACACATCTCTAGTTTTACATGAAGATACCTTACTTAGTTAACACTAGGCTAAACTCTAAATTCGTAATCATTTTTCAGATAAGCTTACCAATGAATCGCTTTTGCATCATCAATTCGTTTTGTCGTTTTCGTTGTTATTTTTAGGCATTCCGGTTCAAATCTATTAACTTCGCTATAATTGTTTTGATTGTATTCTTCTTTGGAAATTAGACTATTTCTGAAGTTAAAGGTCGTCCCATTTTATGAGCAGACAAGACGATTGTCCTTTTCTGAATATGCTTCTCGATGTCGCTGACATGGTTATGACGATTGTCCTTTTCTGAATATGCTTCCGGATGTCGCTGACATGGTTATGTTTTTATCGTTTGTGTTTTCACAGAACAGCTTATCCAAGAGGTTTAACAAGTTTTCTGGGAACATATGCTTAAGTTGGATCTAAGGGAGAGAAAATTTTGACTATGGGGGATCACTTCGTCTTGCTTGTAGATAGGTTGATTACTGAGTCCACACTAGAAGCTGCTCTGGAAAGCCAAAAACGGTCAATGGAGGTGGCATCCTCTGCTGTGAAAGATACAGAGGTTGACGTCTCTGTAGTGAATATGGATATTAGAGACATGAGATCTCAGGGGAAATTGGTACAGTGCAGGATATGCCATGACGAGGATGAATTCTCCACAATGGAGACACCTTGTTTGTGTTCTGGTAGTTTGAAGGTGAGGCATTCTTTTATGAACCCCCCCCCCAAAAAAAAAAAAACAATATCTGAGTTTTTGAGGCATGAATCTGTGAAATCATGGTCTTGAATTTGATGGAAGAACAATGTGGATTCTCATAGATACCTTGACTTTGTTGTGAATTGCTTACCATCACATCGTTGTTTTGTTGAAAAGTTGAGAAAATTTTCATTTTATTGTGACTCACGTGGTAGGAAATATGAGGACTATAAGCTTTTAATACTTGATGAGGTATGAAATAGAAGAAATCAATATGCTTACCCTTCTGTGTAATTAAAGGATTTTGGTTTAGTGTAGGGGAGTAAATATCTTGATAGGATTTAGAGTGGCAAGTTCATTTATCAAATGAATTTTGTCTGCATGTTACTTTTGTCTTTCTGGTGACAAGAAAGGACACAGCAAAGAGTGACTAGGCTATGCAAACTGTTCCTCCTCGAGATCCTGAGAATGTCATCCTCCAAAATGACTTTAGGTTCTGTGAGTGATTGATCTAAAGCGTGAAAACCTAAAGGCAGCATAAGAGTGAAGCTCACCAAGAAGTCCACGCTTCTATTTCCTTCTTGACGTGCATGATTAAATTCCTCTCTCCAATCTTTATCCAATAGTTTCTTGATTCCCATTTATCAGTCTTGAAATATTACAAGCATGTAGAACAGACTTGTTAAGTGCCTACAGAGCAAGCAAGCTGTCCACCTCCATACAAACTTGCTCATTATCTTCTTCTCCATTCTAATTCAAGGCCATCCATGATCTCCTAAAGCTCAGCCTGAATAACAGTGCAATTCTAATGTTCCTGCAAAAGCCCACTAGCCAACTCCCATCAGAGTCTCTCATCACACCAGCACCTGCTAAACCATGGTCAATCACGGTTTCATCCACCCACGAGCTAGCTTGCACCAATCAATATCCCTCATAGTAATGACTTTATGAGATCCAAATAAGTTCTGCAATTTATTCACAGCTTCCGTTGTGTAATGAATCATGATGAAAATCTCATTAAAGACATTCACCAACTTCTATTCTCATTTGCAAACGTTTTATTCCTTTAATCCTATAACCTTTTCCAGCATGTTAAGCCTAAACTGGTGTTCCATTTGCGATCCTGATTCTCTAGAATCATTCCAAGTTTTCAGCAAACCCCTTTTCAAATGATTTATTTAAAAATGTTGCTAGCTGCTCTCTTGGAATTAGATGGCTCCAAACATGTATAGAAATTTCACATATTTGGAAGACATGGTTAATATCCTCTCTCCTGGCCACATCTTTCACATAAATCAATGTGGCTCATGTGTCTTCTGCATCTTTCTGTGTTTATCAGCTGGTTCCCTCCCATTACAAGCCACAAAAACACCCTAAGTCTTTGGGCACCTTGCAGATAGCATAGGGATAAATAAGATACCCTGTTAGAATACAAATTGTGTCCTCCACAGTCAAGCGTAGTTGGGAAAGTGATTCAGAATATTGTTGACTATAATGTAGCTCACTTTTCTTTACACTCATCTGTATTTACTGTATGTCGTTACTTTGGTACATGCGGAAGATTAGATTGGCTGGAGTTGGATCAAATAGAAGCTTTTGCTGTCATAATTTATCTTTTTCTGAATACATTTACAGAATGTTACAATTAAAGCGGTCATTTTGCTCAAGATTCTGAAATAGTTGGCATCGTGTGTTACACTATCTCCTATGATTAATAGTCTAACATCCTATGACTAGTTGGGCTTTTGCTTTTTGCACATTTAAGTGATGCCTAGCCTAGCTTACATGCACTTTATGTAATCTGTCTTCTTGGTCCGCTCAAAGGGTGGCTGGACCAGGGGAATCTCTGCAACATTCCTTGCAGTCTGGTGGCCTGATCAGGGTTTGAAGCTATGCCTCTAGGGCAACCCTTTGGTTTGACCAGACAGACTTCTTAATCAACATTATAAGATGTTTATAAAGGTTAATGAAATTGTAGAATTTTGTTATATGAGCAGCATTGACCAAGGCGAGATGTTATATGAGCAGAATTTTGTTATATACATGCAAGTCAGTATGAGGCGAGGCGAGATATACAGACCTCCAGTCTCTATGTTTTGGTGAAAGTGCACTAAACATGCATTACTAAACTCATTTGCACGACCATACAATTTAAGTATGGATAATAGTTGTAAGTTGCATGCTTCTGAAGGAATTGTGTCGTTTATGTAATCATATTCTTTTCTTTTGGCTTTACCAAACTCGATTTTTTCTTTTCAACTGGAATGATGCTATCTTATCATCAGTATTTCTGAATATCTTGCTCATATTTATCTCATTTGCACTCTTGTAGTTGACAGTTTAAAACTTTCAATGCTTAAGATATATATAACTTTTCCACTTGAGGTATAATTTCGAAGTGAAATTGGGAGATCAAATTATACCTCAAGTGGAAAAGTTTAGATATTTGGGAGCCATTATTCAAAATGATGGCGAAATCAGTGGAGATATTTCACATAGAATTCAAGCTGGGTGGTTTAATTGGAGAAAAGCTAAAGAGTTATTTGTGACCGTAGGGTGCCTAATAAACTTAAAGGAAAGTTTTATCGTACTGCTATCAGACCGGCAATGTTATATAGTAGTGAATGCTGGGCTCTAACGGGACAGCAAGAGCATAAAGTTGGAGTAGCAGAGATGAGAATGTTACGATGGATGTGCGGACATACACGTAAAGATAAAATTCGAAATGAGCACATACGTGAAAAAGTGAGGGTGGCACCTATTGAGGAAAAATGGTAGAAAATCGGTTGAGATGGTTTGGGCATGTACAAAGAAGACCAAGGGAGGCACCAGTGAGAAGAGTGGAACATATAACTTTGAGTCCGATTAAGAGAGGTAGAGGAAGGCCTAAGAGAACACTCTTGGAAGTTGTTGAACGTGATCTCTTAATTAATAATATTTCTAAAAGCTTAATAAATGATAGAGCACAATGGCGTCTTGCAATCCATGTAGCCGACCCCACCTAGTGGGATAAAGGCTTGTTGTTGTTGTTGTTGTATGCCCATCGACAATGCATACAGCGGTGGTGTAATGAGAAAGGAGACATCACATGTGAGATATGCCTCCAGGTACTTAAAAGTGTTTCCATTTTAATATATACTGTTTATTTGCAGCCTTCAGGAGTTATGAAAAGAAATAACATCTGCAGCCTTTAGGAGTCATTTGGATGTATCATATTACTTCTCTTATGTGTTGGTGATTGGTGGTATAACTTGTATGAGTTTTTTCAAAACAAAGTAAAATTAGGTTTAAACTAACATTGAATTATGAGTTTCAGCAATTTAAACCCGGTTACACTGCTCCCCCTCCACTGTTTCGATTAGCGCGTCTTCGAATGAATTTCAGGTAACTTTTGTGCAGTATGTTGCCATTTTTTTCTGCGACCAATTGCTTCTTAAACCTTTTTTTCCTTTCCACTTGTCTAATTTTCTTTCCATGCCATCTTTAGCAGGAGAAAGTGGGAAACATCAAGAAGAGACTTGCAATTGCATAATGCTACTCAAATTGTTCGTGTTGTCTCGCCTGACCAGAATCTTGCCGATTTTACCTGTGAGCAGTGTTCAGCATCTGCTATCTTTTGTTCAATTTCAATCTTTGTAAATTTCTCTCACCCTCTTTTTCTCTCCGCTCCCTTTGCTTCACCCACTGACGCTGAATTTTGGATCATATCCGTTATGTGCAGATCTTGATTATACTGATACTGAAACATGCTCTCTCGCTACTTGAAATGATTGGAAGTGTGGAATATTCCTTGCCAATCTATATGGTATGCTTCATTCAACATTGAATTTTAGTTAGCACATTTTGCTGATGATCAGTTGCCAAGGCTTTGTATTTTGCTTGAATTTTTGCAGTTATTGCTTGCACGGATTCTGGGTGTGACTTTGTCTATTTATGTCATGCGGAGAACTGTGAACTTTGTGCAGCAGCAGCGGCAACAACGACTAGTGGTGAGTTTCTACCTCTCTCTCTCTCTCTCATACACCCCGCAATTAAGAATGCATTTGATACACAGGCTTCTTCTCAAGAATGTAAAATCTACGTTTCTGTATCATTTAGACTGTAAATTTTATGCTTTTCGTGTTTGGTATGCTCGAATTTCTATTCAGTAGATTCGTTCCCCAGCACTTGAAAAATTAAAATTATTGGGTACTAAACATGAGTTAAGCCCAATAGAAGATTTTTAGCTACTATAATGATATCATTTGTGTTCTTTTTTACAGGAACCTCGTACTGCATCTGGTAGTCAATACAGCAACCAGAATGACCAACAGGCTTTGCAACGTCAGCCACAAGTTGCTCCTGTATAGTTCTTTTATTTTTTTGCCCCAGAAATAAAGCACAGTGTTTGTAGCAGATGCAGTAAATGTTAATCTGTTTTTGAGATTCAATTCAGATAGATCAGTTTCCCAATTACTGGGAGAGAGAAGATCCAATAGTTGCACTTCGATTTAAAAAAAAAAAAAAACAAGGGTGCTCATAATTCATGAGAAGCCTTGCAGGATACAGTCAGACACGGATGGAAAAGTGGAATTCCAACGTATCAATATATTGTGGATTGAGGTCCGAAATATATAAATATATATATATATATATATATAGATTCAAATATCTTTCATGTCGCCTTCTAGCATAGTTTGAATCGCAAGATTCAACAAATGAAAAAGACATGAACTATCGAGTTAATTGTACGTAAAATAAAATGAAATGTGGAATGTGAACAAATATCAAGAGAGCTACTCCCATAGCAAGGTTTGATGTTTGAATCATGTTGATAAAAAATGATATTAAGAGTTATCTCTATTGTGGATCTCACAATATTGGAATCTAGAACAATTGTTAGCAGAATGTACAAGATCCATGTAACCAGAAAGAAAGGAGGAATATGACCGATTCCACTAAGTTAAATAACAAGAAGGCCGATGTTAATCCATTCATTTGTTCGGTATAAAATGTCGAACCATCAAGAATGTAATCTCTTGCCCTAGACTTGCGCAAGTTGCTTTTGATCATAACAAGGAATTCAGAACTAATTTCAACCAAAATTTTGCACCTTGATACTCTTTCATCCCCAATTTTTTCTAAGCTGAACTAGATGTGACCATTGCCCAAAGGAAAGTTAGTGAAAATAAGATGTAAGATCAATAATAATCTAGTCCAAATGTAACCAAGAAACTTATTCTGTACACATCTCAAAAAGTACTTTGGCTATTCTCTCTGGTGACCAGAGCCGCAATTCACCTTGTCTGCATTTCTCTGTACTCGTCTCTTCTAATTCTACTTCCAATTCTCCTTGGCCTGAAACATGAAACAGAAACTCAACTCATCTCCTACATTGTCACTGACATGGTTCTAGAACATCTATGATTAACTAGCTTTAGTATAGTACCAAATCTTTTATAACCATTAAGTAAGGAATTTGATCACTAGAAGCCTACCCTCAATTTAAAAAAAAAAATGAAAGCATATTAGCCACAAATGACTTCAATACATCAAGTTTAAAATACTGTGACTTGAAGAAGTTTGAAAGAATCCATTACCCTTCCACTCATATGTTCTTTAAAGAGTGTAGTTGGTGAAAATACTTCCGACTTTTTTGTTGGGAACGCCAGTAGCAGGCGAGTGCTCCAAAACCACAGCTAGCAATAGCAATTGCCAATGCAGCACCCAAAGGCACCACAAGTGCATTACTTGATACTATTAAATCTTCAACAGCTCCTTCGGTTCCATCATTATCACCTATGCCCTTGTTCTTATATAGAGATGCAAGCTTTTCTCCATAGTATCGTGTCAAAAACTTGTAAACCTCATCCTTGTTCCATTCAACTCTGTTGGACCTCCGGCCAAGGTCTTGGTAACAAGTAGGACAAAGCTTCTTTGGAGGCCATGTCATCTTCGGAAATTTGGGATCACCTGTTCCCAGAGATGCTTCTTCTTTCATCAACCTTTCGTTAACCATATTATGGGCACTCCACAACCAGAGAGCAAAGTCACGAGCATTGTTGATTGGACTAGACACACTAAAAATTAACATTATTGATTGGTCACAAGCTAAGGGAAATTTATGGGCTTAAATGATGAAACTGAAATGTAGTCTCGATTCAATTTACCTTGAACACATCTTGTAAAAATGCTGCCGACATTCCTCACAGATGAAAAAGTTGTGTACAAAATCACACGTAGCATTAAACGCAAACTGACTTTCTCCATCCTCGATTCTCACTGAAAGTGAATGCAGGAGAACCCATAAACCGCAGCTGATAAAGAGGACACAAGAATGATAAGACAGGGCACCTTGTTCAAAGATGCTATGACATACTTTGTCACGTTATGCAGAGTCCAAGATTACTGAGAGGGACGAAGCCACTCAGTACATATTATTTTGAAAAACATGCAAAATAGTATCGTCATCAATACAATTACTAAAATCATTAGTACAAACACATCAATTCAAGCAAGGGAGAGGTCTCTTCTTTGAGAAGAGAAGAACAAGAAATACAGACATCTACACAGATGCAAATTGGGGAAGGTCTCTAGCGGATAGGAGATCCACCACTGCGTACCCCACTTTGTGTGGGGAAATCTGGTAACTTGGAGAAGCAAGAAGCAACAAGTGGTTTCAAGTAGTGCTAAATCTGAACTAAGAGCTTTTGCTCTAGGTTTGCAGAGGGATATGAATCACTAGGCTGTTAAGAGAGTTCCAGGTTTCCCAATGACTTTTTATCTTGCCAATAAAGGTTCCCTATGACACTCCTATGAAATTATGGTGTGACAGCAAATCTGCAATTGATATGGCAAAAAACCCTGCCCATCACGAAGCATGTTGAGATTGACAAACATTTCATAAAGGAGAAAATTGAAGGGGTAATCGTTGATCTCTCATACTCACTACAGATCAAGTGGCAGACATCGTGACGAAACCACTCAGTAGAAAACAATTTGAAGAATTACAAAGCAGGCTGTGAGCGATTGATATCTATTTCCCAACTTGAGGGAGAGTGTTGAAAGATCCAAGGCCAAAGCCCAAAACACTGTTTTACTTAGTTATTTTCCCGTTTATTGTTTTTATTAGTTCTTACTTAATATTATCATTTAATTAGGTCCATCTATATTAGGAACAAACATTAATCTGATTTACTGATATTGTTGTTGTATTAAGCTAACCTCACATGGTGGGATAAGGCTTGTTGTTGTGTCAGATTATAGCATGTAATTTTGGCAAATTATGTGGGAGCCAAGCCTATAAAACCTATTATTCTGTTTTATCGAATAATACAGAGTGTATACAGCATCTGTTTTTCTCAAGAAGAGTACACAGCTACTGAACAAAATTCCAACTTACTTTTGGATGTAAACAAGGGTAGTTAAATATCATGATTTGATATGGAACTGAAAACGTAAATATGAATGTAGAAGGCAAAGCAGTACCTAAAGCCCCTGGTATCATTCTTGCTGCCACGGCAGAACATCTACAGAAGAACAATCCAAGTAAACCAAAGCAATCAGAAACGTTCTCATTCTAATAGGAGGAAAAAAAAAAAAAGGTAAATTTCCATTAACAAGCACAAACTTATTTAAAAAAATAACTGATAGAAAGAGAGGAAAGCCACAGAAAAAAATAAAAATTGACTAAATAACATAAGATCCAAGGTCCTAAAAATTGGGAAAGTCTGGCAATTTTAACAAGAACAAGAGCAGAAATGTCACGTCAGACAGCATAGGATTAAAGAATATAATAATTCTGGTTAAGCATATAAATTATAACAAGGCTAGATATTTTCAAGAATTGCGATACAAAAGTAAGAGCAACTATATAATACCTTGAAAAGCGCACTTAAAAAAAAAAGGCAGCCTGAAGGAATACTTAAGGCAAGCAAAACTTCAGTGTGTTGAACAAAATACCAGTAGACACAGGGGTAAGAACCATTATTACTGGAAATACTTCAACACAAGTACAAGGATCCCACTTCTTGTTAATGCAAATTACTGTGTTTTCCATGCAATGGAGCATGAATAGCTCATGAATAGTGAGACTTGTTGGAGTTTTAATACTATATATAGATATTTCAACACAGGTACATGGGTTCCACTTGGTATCAATAACCAATAGCATTCACCACCCGTAGGCATATATTTTAACCCAGAAAATAGTATGTCAGTGACACAGAATGTGAAGATAAGTAAAACAATAACTCAACTCAAATAAATCATAATAATGAAGGGTAATCTCTTAAGACTGATGATTATAAGCATATTCATAGGCAAACCTGAACGAGGAACACAAATATCAAAGGAATCTCCAGCACAAAATCTCAATAACATGGTAACATCAGATACCCTTAAGTTCAAACACCTTTACTGACAATAATACTCCTGAATGAATAGTATGATAATTAGCCTGAATCTGAATTATTTCAATTATCCAAATACAAGCCCTCCGGGCTCTAACAGGACAGCAAGAGCATAAAGTTGGAGTAGCAGAGATGAGAATGTTACGATGGATGTGCGGACATACACGTAAAGATAAAATTCGAAATGAGCACATACGTGAAAAAGTGAGGGTGGCACCTATTGAGGAAAAAATGGTAGAAAATCGGTTGAGATGGTTTGAGCATGTATAAAGAAGACCAAGGGAGGCACCAGTGAGAAGAGTGGAACATATAACTTTGAGTCCGATTAAGAGAGGTAGAGGAAGGCCTAAGAGAACACTCTTGGAAGTTGTTGAACGTGATATCCTAATTAATAATATTTCTAAAAGCTTAATAAATGATAGAGCACAATGGCGTCTTGCAATCCATGTAGCCGACCCCACCTAGTGGGATAAAGGCTTGTTGTTGTTGTATCCAAATACAAGCCCTCCATCCCAAATGATCATTACATAATTTACTAAGATGATAAGTAATTCTTTCTTCTCATCTGGCACTAGCTAGTTATACTTCTAACGAATTATATATTTTTTCTAATGCACATGACAACAGTAGGCCACACAAAATTTAACTAAATAAAATATCCAAGCTTATTTCACCGAAAGAAAAAAATCAAGCTCACAGCATGGGCCACACAATTGACAAAAAAACCAATACTTCACCAAATAACAGAACAGAAGTGAAATTATTGATCCTACCCAGTACCCACGAGGTACATATTTTCCACAAATCTGAAAGTTCCTTGCCACAACATTTCCACCGTCACCTTCCTGACTATTAGCTGACTGCAAATCTGCTGGGTACAAGTCATCAAAGCTCACAAGTAATTCAGCAGCACCCTTCCGACATCTGAAATAAATGATTCAGAATAGAAGAAAAGAAATTTATGCTAAAACCTGGATAGGCAGAACACATTAAGAGGTGGTTCCTCATACCTCCTAGAAGGATGATGAGCCACCAAAAGCTGAAGAAACTTTATGAGTGAAGCACGGGTTTCAGGCTTTACCATCTGCATCCCAGAGAGCATGTGCTGTATCATCCACTTACAAAAACAAAGCAAGTAAGAACATTAAGGAGAAAGTCATGGGGAAAAAATCACCTTGTGCTCTGAGATGATGTCAAAAGCTATGGCTGTTGCCTCTTCAACATCATAGACAGCTCTTGCAATCTTTCATCATATACAGCATGCATGTAAATATTTTAACAAAAATAAAAAAGAAATTATAATTAAACTAAATCCAATAAAATTTGTCTGGATTGTCAAAGGACCTGTTCAGGGTCTGACACATTGGATGAAAGATTCTCATTTTCAAATTTCTGATCATCCAGGCCAAATGAACTGCAACATTAAGAACATTAAAAGTTATAGACAAGAAAATTGGTACAAGTCAATTTCACACCATTTTTTGGAAAAATGTATTGCACTAAATGCATGTCCCGTCAGATGCACTGTGAAATGTTCCCACAAGCTTTTAGACTCTTGAATTTATATAGTTTAATTATTTTATACTCCTTAGTCAGTAGGTCTTGAATTCTTTATGACTAATCTTTATCCTACTGCCCATGACATTGCATACCCTAATTAAAAATAATATTTCACAAAAAAAAAAAAAACCTCAAGCCTCTCTGGTGTATTATTAATTATTTAATGACTTAAGAGGCCCTAAATCTTGGTCATATATACATTTTGCTAAAATTCCACTAATAACTAGCAGTCAATTGACCCACCAACAAGATGGCTTCCCCCACTTGTTGAGATGCAGGGCCAACATTTGATTCTTATGTGGTGACTATTTCTAGTCAAATACACTTCTCACAACGCTTAAGAGGTTAACAGGAAAAGAGGAAATTTTAGAATATTTTTTAATATAAGCCTCTGGTAGGCATGGTGACGGGCTTATGTTAACAATAATGCGTGTGTACCTCATACCTGCCCATTTGCTTGTTGATCCAATTAAGCAGCCTATCAGCTGTGCGCCCATCATCAATCATCCAAATATAAACTTTGTCTTTTTTTGGTTCCCAACCACCAGCAACAAATTTAGAAGGAGGGCCCCAAAGAAGCATAGGATAATGACCAACAGAAAACTTATCACAGAGTTTAGTATTTATCTGTGCTGCCAAAGAAGTTAAAAGAAGGACAAATCACCAAGGTATGTGTCACCAATGTATAAAATTAAGTACCAGATGTTTAGAGAAGTAAGAATTAAATTAAAAAAAATGGCAGAGTTGATCGATCAAAAAGTATTCACAATAAATGTATGATTGAATAAGATTTTCAGGGAATGCATCAGAATTGGAGGAGATGAAGTGGGGGAATCTTAGATTTGTTTTAAATTTCCCAGTATTTTCTAGGGAAAAAATAAGAGGTATAGTAGTCAAGATTGAATATCTCAATGCTGAAAGCTTTTCTTTATTCTGGTATTCTAATTAATCCCAAAAAAAAAAAAAATAACAATCCTTTTCTCAGCATGCTTACTGCCAGCAGCAAATCTTCTCTTTTTTCCCAAGTTTTACATACAAACAACCCATTAGGAAAATTGATGACTGCAGGTGAAGCAGAAGCAACATGTCAATCCTCAAATTGTTATATGATAGGTAAGCACATTATTAAATCAAGAAAAATTTCAAAAAAATGTTATTGATTGTATTATCATGTAAGTCTGAGTTATGCAATATACTCTATATAGAAACAAATTCTAAATGAAGACCCAATCATCTCAGGTAAAATCATACATAATGCAATTATATGTTTCCATAATCTTAAATCATTGGTTAATTGCCCTGAAAATTACATTCTTAGTCCAGAACATGATTTCCTCATTAAATCTTATGAGCAATGATATCCATTTCGATTTATATGAGTTTTGGATCATCTAATTTTTTTTATCTTCTATCATTGGCAGACGAAATCCTTTCTCCCAAGATTTTCACTTTATTTTGCCTCAAAGCATGTAAGACTATCCTGAAAGACAAATATTTTCTGAAGAAGAAAAATACCTAGCAGCTAGAGGGTAGACACTGAAATTAGCATAAATATAAAAGCACACCTGGAGAAGAAAATAATAGGTGATGCGCATACCTTCAAGGCACAATCTACCCTTGCCATCAATACAATTCCTGGATGCACTGCATCAGGTCCGTTAAAAAGCCTTGCAACCTTTTCATAGTGCGGCTGTCATATATATTCAGAGAGCAGATAGTCATGAGCTGAAATGATGGACAGCAAAATTCATAAAAGATAAACTAGAACTTTTAGGTATTAATACCTTATAACTCCTACAAGCAGGGCACCTGCCAGAAAAGTAAAGGACATCAGCAAATACACTTAACTATTTTTTTATGAGGCCCTAAGCTGTCATCCCTAAATACTTAAACAGCAGAATATAACTTCCAAACTAAAAATAAAAAAAAACATCAATTGGATTGCAGAGAAAAATAAATATTTTCTTATTGAAGGACAATATTCGCTCACTTTAATATGCAAAAACTAGACTTTTCTTTTTTAGGGGAGGGGGTCAACAGACAAACACAATTCAACAACTGTTTTGGGTTCGACTCAACAAGTTAATTCTTCTTTCATAAAAGATAGCACATTCATAAATCATAGAGTGAAGCAGGCAGACAATTGTTTATTCAATGTCATTTTGATATTTGAAGAATAAGCTATAATATGAATACACTGATCATATACTTCTTAGATACATAAAAATTAAGAATTTAGGGAAAAGCATAGTAAATGTAAAAGCTTTAACAAATTCGAATAGTAGCATCTCATCAGGAATTTACAATATACATAAATATGGAACATGGACTAGGACAAACATAGAGCACGTAAATCACAGAAAATTCCAGAATTATATCACTATAATAGTTATTTCTTTCTTAGGAAACATTGTATCACAGATTAAAGCAATAATATAGAAAAAGCATTCATGGAAAATATAAAATGGAAGACAGCAACTAGGAGTTGAATCAAGTGAAAAATATGGATTAAACTGAAAACAAAGAGATTATAAAATAGGTCGATATGTTAGGGTGAAAACAAGAACTATAATTAATACCATGATCTTTGAAGTTATAAATAGATTCAGCTATCAGTATATCTAATAAATGTACAGTTGTACTCCAACAGCATGTCAGAAGTATGTTGCAAGTATACAACAAAGTAGTTTAGTAATCATAACAATAACAGCATAAAAATCTAGTGGTTTACATGCTTCATACGTTGAACTTGATAGTAAAAATTGTGCCATTAATCTATAAAATCAGTCTTTGCCCACATGCAAAGAATGGAGGAAGGCAAGATGAAGCGAATGGTTTAAAGATGGCAGTTTTTCCAGAGATACAAGTGATGTTTTGATTTATCCAACCACTTGTTTTTCTCTTATCATTCACCTCTACTGTTAAAAACCTCAGTTAAAGAAAGCAGGTAGCCTTTAGCTCTTAATATTTGCCACATCTCCAATGACTTTTACATCAAACTACAAATTATGCTAGATAAAAGGACAGCATAAAAAATGCATCATAATACTCCATCTGCTATCATTGCGGCTTCAAAAATACAAATATTTGTCGCATGAATTCATATCTCATTATTTTACAAGCAGATCTATTTTGCCGATCAAATGTTCTATCAACTTCCTTCAACTTACCCGAATAAATAGGGCCCCCATAGCATTAAGAGCATATCCATTAAGAAAAGTAAAATAATAATTAAGAAATTCAATACCCGACGGAAAACTAAATCAATCCAAGAATAAAAGGGCATAAAATTGAAATTTTGTTTCTCATACAATCACTAACCAATGGGCAAAGAATTCGACAATGGCAAAAGCAGCCGGTGTATCCTTCAGAACTTTACTGAAACTCGTTGCATTCAAATCAATAGCATAATCTCGATTATCATCATTTTTATTATTATCGTTCACGACCCGAAGGATCGAACGAGCTGATCCCAATGAGGAAGACGTCGAAGTCACAGTACCACAAAGCAGGCTCAAAATAAGACCAAGGCATGTATACATCCGAGACATGGAAATGATCAACCACAGACCCAGAACGTGGGAGAGATGAACCTAGCAGCAAACGATCTCCAAGCAATAGGGTTTAGTGGGTTGATTGGAAATCCGGAAGAAATTGAAATTTTTCAAAATGCTTAGGAGAGAGAAATGGATTTATTCCTGTGAGTATCTTCCAGTTATCAACTTTTTGTGTATCAGGTCAAAAAAAGAAATTTCGCGTAGCTTTTGAAGCTTTTGTGATTGGAAGGGAAAGATGACCAACGGGTGCGAATTACGTTTCTTCTTCGAGATGACAGAATCAGAGGGTCCAGTTACCGAATGCCACCAAACCAAAACATCGTTGAACTTTGAAATTCCTTCAACGTTTCGTAAGAGTGCGTCTAATGCTTCTCGTATTAAAAAGTATGGAAATATTAATGTTAAATTATACTTTCTCTATTTCAAAATATAAATATTTTTTAAAAAATTAAATATTTAAAATATAAAATATTTTTAATTTTTTAAAGTATAATTATTATTATTTTTTTAAAATATCCCTATTAATAATAACTTTTTATTTATTATAAAATATTTAATAGGAATAAATTTAGAAAGATAGGATTAGTTAAAAAATAAATAAATATTTTATTGAAGGGTGAGATTCGATTAAAAATGTCATATATTTTTAAATGGAGGGAGTACACTTAATCATTTAAGTTTATACAAGATAAATTTTATTTTAATTTTTAAATTTTATAAAATATAATTTTAATCTTTTAATATTAACATTGTTAATTTCATCATACAAAAATTTTACATTAAACTTTTAAATATCAATAAAATATTTGTAAATATTGAGATATTCAGTATAATTTTTTAAATAACAATAATTAATTTAAAAAGTAATCATTTAAAACTAATGATGTTATGATTAAAAGGATAAAAAATATATTTTATAAAATTAAGAGATTAAATTAAAATATTATATAAAATTATGAGGCTAAAAATATATTTTAACCAAATATTAAATGATGATTAACTTTCCTATAAACATTTCTTTTTCTTTTCACCGGCAATTGCTTTACCAATTAAAAGATTAGATTTGGAACAACCTAACTTATAACACCTACCCACTTTAAAATGTTAATGAATGTGAATTTGTTCAACTTTATCTTCTTTGGTTTTTGAAATATAATCTTAAAGTGTGTTCTCCTAAATTTTTGATATAATCATGTTATCCCAATTTTATTAAAAACATTGTAGATAAGTTTTTGATACATCATGTGGACGGATTTCTTATACAAGAAGAAACTGCAAGTTAACTTTTGAAATGTCATTTGATATTAATGTATATTAAAATATTTATATTTTTTCCTATATGTCAAACTTAAATTTTTATCCTCATTATTTAAAATTTAAAATTTTATATTATTAAAAAAATTTTGGAATATAAATTAAAGACTAAGAATACTTTTGAAAATTGTTGAACACGATCTCTTAATTAATAATATTTTTAAAAGCTTAATAAATGATAGATCATAATGATATCTTGTAATTTATATAACCGACTTCATCTAATGAGATAAAAATTTGTTATTATTGTTGTTGTAACAAAATTTTGATTTTGGCCATCAACCATTAAGGGATTGATTCAGCGGAAAAGAAAATCGTGCCTCTTTTTTGGGTCTGAACTTTGATTTTTTGGGCCATGATGCCCATCAAAACTTCATGAATGCTAACAAAAAAAAAAAGTTCATTGCAAGATTACACAAAAAACTACCAAAATTATAATTGTAATTGAAATATTGAAATGTAAGATTATACATTCCGTCACACGTCACAAATTAACTTCGTTTAATGATAAATCAATGAATCTGGCCATAAAAATGATGAATCCTTGAATCTCTTAAATTATGTTTGGATTAATTGGCAAAAGAAAAATGTCAAGCTTGAAAATGATTGTTTTGAAATAAATCTGTCTAAAAATTATATTTGCATAAGATATTTTTATTAATATTAGATAAATAAACTAAATTTGATTTTAAAAAATTAATGAGTATATATATAATATTGTTATATTTTGTTAATATATATAACTTCCTAACTCTTGAAATTTAAGACATGTTTGGTTCGATAGGAGGGGGGAGAAAATTTTTCCTCTCCTCTCCCCCCAAATTGGGGGGCCCCTCCCCTCCCTTTCCACCAAACATAGTTTTAAAGGTGTGTTTGATTTAAAGGGAGGGGAGGCATGTTTGGTTCAAGAAGAGGAGAGGGACAAGTTTTAATATTATTTTGTTTGGTTTTATTTGAAAGGAATGGTTTTGAATAATCCTTTATTTCATTTAGGAGAAAATGAGAGGAAAGATAATAACTAACTTATTATTATATCCCTATATATTAATTTAATTTTTTCTTGTAGAAAAATAATTTTACATCTCAATTTAAATTGCATGATTTTTTAAAAATTTACTCTCATCCTATCATATTGTCAATATGTAAAAAAAAATTAAACCAATAATTGTAATGATAACAATTTTTCATAAAAAAATAAATAACGAAATGTATAATCAAATTTGATGAAATGTAATTTTTTAAAAAAAAATCTAATGAGATCAATCAAAGTTTAAGAGTGAAGTACAATCTGATATGAAAAAAGTTTTTTTAATTATAAGTATACTTAGAATATTAAAAATTAAATAAGGGTAAAATAGTTAAAAAAAATTAGCTCCCTTTCAAAAAAATCTCAATTTAAAGGGGAGCAATATAAAAGGTTATTTTAACTCTCTTCTCCTCCAAAATTTCTAAACCAAATGAAGGGAGGGAAGCATTTTCCCTCTCCTCCCCTCTAAAAACCCCCCAACATAAGAGAGGGGAGGAGGGGATCCCTCTAATTTGGAAGGAAGTTTTGGAGGGAAGGAAAGGAAAAATTTAAAAAAAATTTTCCTCCCTAAACCTTACCAAATGAGTAGAGGAGCTCCTCCTCTTGCCTTGTCCCATCTAAACAAGACGCTCCCCTCTCCTTATTTAAAATTTTTTCTCTTTTTTTCTTCCCTTCTCTCCAACCAAACAAACTCTAAGAGGAGTTGCATAGATTTCTTAGCTTACTTCCAAAAAAGGGATTTGCATGCTTAAAAATTTTAATTTTAAAATATAAATATATACTTTAAAGTTTAAATTTAATTTAAAAATTAAAAATTTTTAATTTTAAAAGTAAAACAAAAACAAGACATTCAAATTTAAGCTTATTTTTCAAAGCTCATTAGAATCAGGCTTTAAAATTCAGTTTTTTTATAGTTGAGAAACAAGTGAATTGAACCTATAGAAGCTCGGCTCATAGAGACTTAAGCCCATAAACTTGGTTACTCTAAAATTAATTATTGTCTGAATTTCGATCCTTATACAGAAGGCTTAGAGCTAGGCCGTAAGCCCCTTTTTATTATTTTTTATTTCTGTTTGAATTTTTAAAAATTAAAATTTTCAATTATAAATTTCACATTTTAAAAAATACAAATTGTAATAATTTAAAATTTAAAAATAAATATTATAAATTTTAATTTTAAAGTATAAACATTTATTTTAAATCTTAAATTTAATTTTGAAATTAAAAATATTTTTTTTAGGGATAAAATAAAAATGGGTCCAAACAAGCCATTCGGGTCCATTTGTCAACACCTATTAGGCTAAGTTTTAAAATCCCTACTTTTTAAAATAAAAGTTTCATTTTAAAGTTTAAACTTTTATAAAAATGAGTTTCAATGAGCAACCTATTTGGTTCTAAATTTTCATAAAAAATAACACTTTTTAGGTCCAAACTTTTATAAAAATAGACTTAATTGACCAGCCTAACTCTTATTTTTAATTTTATTCCTAGTGATCCAATAAAGGGATTAGTCTTTATTTTCTACTAGGAGACCTTGAATTTCAACAATGAGCATAGAACAATTTCGTTCAAGAGATCAGTAAAATTGACTGTTTTAACATGATGCATCTTATTTCTAAATCATAAAAGCTACTTCATCTTATTTGTAAGACATTTTTAGATGTTTTGGTGTTTCAAAATGCATGTTTTGAAAGAAATAAAATTTCATTAATTATTATTATTCCAATACTATCATTCACTCTTAATTAAGTTAATTTATATATTTAATCTTTTAATTTACACAATACTTCATTTTAAATATTTGATTTTATAAAATCTCATTTCAATCCTTTAATCTTAACACTATTAGTTTTATCAACAAAAAACTCATGTATTAAACTCTTAAATATTGACTAGACATTCTTAAATGTTAACACATTAACTTTAATTTTTTAAAAAAAGAATAATGATTGGCACAAAATAATCGTTTAGAACTAAGGGCTCATTTGGTACGCAGCACTAGCTAAGTAGGATGGGTTTGGAATTGAGTAATACCAAGCTTTTATGTTTGTTAGGTGATAATTACAAATTTATTCTCAAACCCAATCCCATCTAGGTGGGAATACTCAATACCACCTCCCCGGCTTGGTACTGCAATTTCAATCCTGGGATTGAAATTTTCATGACTGAAATGCCCTTATCAAAAACCTACCCAGTCAGCTTACTCCTCCATCATCGCACATGGATCTCCTCCATCATCCTTAACCTTGTACACTCCATTGAAGATGACTTCAACAACGCAAGGATGGCTATCATCGCATGATAGGGACAGAACAGGAGCAGGGGAATATAAAGATGAAGCCATTGTCTACCAACGACATCAACACAAGTGCGAACAGGAGCAGAGACGACGGAAGAGCACTGCTGCAATGTAGAGATAGGGAGGGCACGGATCGACAGCAACGCAAAGACAAGAGAGTTCATGACCTGAATGAAACTCCTTACAGTAACAGACGACAGCAACTCCAGTAGCGATGGTGATGGAAGGATGAGCTTAACAGCAAGTCGCAAGGATGAACGATTGGCAGCGTGAAACAGAGGAAAGGCAGGAATCTGGTTCTGAACCTCCCAGCAGCGGCAGACGTGCTTGCCCCACCATGCCAATGACGTTGAGGACGATGGAAGAGGATGTAGATTGAACGATGGAGGTGAGGGTTTCTGTTCTCTCTTACTCTTCTTGCTCTGGATCGTTGGAAACTCAAGCAATAAGAAAATGAAAGACAAGGTGTGTGCGTGCTAACCTCTGACTCTCTGTTTTACTTTTTCCTTTAAGATCTGGGTTTCTCGTTCATGGGTTTTAGATCTGGGTTTCTGATTTATGGTTTGACAAGGATAGAACAGGAGTAAGTAGAGACAGAGACGGAGCCACCCTCCACCAATGATGTCGACACAGGTGCAAATAGGAGCAAAGATGGCAAAGGCTGAGCAACTCCTTGCCA